GTATGAAAATCAAATGTACTGCGTGAGAAGTTCTATTCCCCACTCATTCAGTGTATCCAATGGAGTTAGACAAGGTGGTGTTTTGTCACCTTCCCTGTTCAATGTGTATATAGATCACCTAAATGTGAAGTTAAATAAACTTTTATGTGGCTGTCTTGTTGGCAACAAAGTGATTAATAATATCAGTTATGCGGATGACATGTGTCTAATAGCGCCCTCTATAAAAGGCTACGAAAACTGCTGAAAACTTGTGAATTGTTTGCTACTGATCATGATATGCTCTATAACGTGTTGAAAACGAAGTGTATGTACTTTCCATCCAAGCTTAAACTGAACATTCTGCCACAGATTAGACTGATGGGCCAGAACATAGAATTTGTCTCGCAGATTACGTATCTGGGTCATAGGGTCATGTGTGACATGAAGGATAATGACAACCAACCAACGTCGCTTGTTTTGTGTGAGAGCAAACCTACTTCTTAGGAAATTCGTTAAGTGCAGCTATGATGTTAAATGTATCTTGTTCAAAACGTATTGTTATAATATTTATTGTTCACAGTTGTGGTGCTTTTTTAACAAAGCGACCCTTAATTCTTTGAAGGTTTCTTATAAAAACCTATTCCGTAGACTTTTTGACTATCCATATGACCACAGTGCCAGATCCATGTTTGTTGCTAACCGTGTCAAATCATTTTATGAAACTTACAGGAATATTGTATATAAATTTAGAGAGCGTGCATGCTCGTCCAACAACAGTATATTGACTAGTTTATGGAACAGTGATTTGTAATGGAAGTCAGCCTTGTTGCAGCGTTGGAATGAAATGCTGAACTGAGATGCTATGTGCAATTATGTAATAGCAAGCGAACTATCATTTCCTGTTTATATTTCGTATTCTTTCTAGTATTTATTTACTATTATTATTATTATTTTTTTTTGTATGTGTGTGTATGTGTGGACATGGACTTATTTGTCTGAAATAAATAGTATATATATATATATACATATAAACAAATGAGGTCAATCCTTGACCAAAAAAACAAACAAAAACAAACCAAAAAATTTGTAATATTTGTTTTATTTTATTTTTTAAATCTCAAGCTAGTTGTTTCACTCTTGACACCATCTGAACGTCAATATACAATTACAAAAATGACTACATATCACATTGATAACTACATAGAACAGTACATGGCAAACTCAACTTGAAGCACTTACATTGGCCTCGACATTCTTGTTTACATCCACATTTTGTTAGCTGCTTGCATAACTCGTCAATCGGAGGCAGCTCAGACCATAACACTGTTCATACATTATCCTTCAGCTTCCAAACCCAATCAGAGGGACTTATTTCCTCCATTGAACATGCCAAAGTCTGAGCCCATATACAACCAGCTTGATATGCTGAATTAACGATGCTTTTGTTGGTGGGGTAGCATCAAATGAACGTTGTTTCCTAGCAAACATATCAAAGCTTGCTTTGTCAACACTCGCATCAGGACTAGACATATACATCTGAATGATACTGATATCATGCTCATCCAGTACCGGGGGATAGATACTCAACTTTTGAAACACAAGGATTACATCAGGACAAACATCCTAAGTTTGCCATAAAGACTTTTCCCTTTGCCTTTGAAACCCGACACGTTATCTCAGCCAGAAAAGGAATGAAAAAATAAAATACCAGAGACTCTTCTTGGCTCAACCTGTTACTTACATCATGGACAGGTATCAATCTCACATTTTTACCCTGACCGAACTCAAGGCAAAGCTTTTGTAAACCCATTTTTCTCACCCTATGGAAAAACGCTTACAGCAATCACAAAAACGTCTGTATCATTCGCTTTAATCAACACAACTGTATGCCCTTTTTCAATGCTGTGTTGGACTGTGTATCAGCCTCCTCATGATTACAAGGTGCAGGATTATCTAATTCCGCTTCAAAATTGCATACCATAGTCTCGCCCTACATACACAATGTTGTTTGTACAATGTTCAACAATCATGTCTGCCGTTTACTGTAACCCTTTGTCGTGCTCCAAAACCTTGCTTCGATCTAGTCTCTGCTTTCCAGCTCAATGGTTCGTACACATCAAACACAATATCAGAATCACTCAGTGCAGCTGGAAAAGCCTGATTTTCCTGTTGAAAGAAGTCATTCAAATCGCATTCTCTGCCTTGGCAGGATATGAATAACTTAGAAAATAGTGCACAGTCCTCTCTTAAATTCTTCTGTTTCAGATCTTCGGACGTCTGCTCTGGCTTTTGACTGAAAACGTATATCTTGTTCTTCTTTATAAGTTCATAGAACTTACTCTCTAAGCTGGGTGAAAGGCTTGCCATGAATTCATTGAATCGTATCTTTCCTGTCTCATAATGAGTCGCAACTTTCTCTGCCATACTTTTTTTGTATCTAAAGTTACCAGGTCCTTTGTTTCTTCCTTGAAATTAACAGTACTGTACATTTTGTTCACATGTTCCAGAAATTTCTTTTGTGCATAGGCTGTCTGCTCACGATGCTGTATTTCATTTTCATCTTTGCCATCTGAGATTTTTTCGTATGTACTGACGAGATGACTCATCTCGGGGCCAGCAACCATCCATCTCCGTAACATCAATTTCCCCACCTTCACCTTTGATAACAGCATTAATAACTCTATTTAATTAAGCGCAACAATTCCAACATATGAAGATCAAAGGCGCTGATACAATAAACAATCAGTCAAATATTAAAAGCACATTTAAATAAGTGCGTTTTCAGTCTGGATTTAAAAATGTCTACTAAAGGACTAGAACGAACAGACAGAGGTAATTCATTAAAAAGTTTAGGACCTAAATTTTCAAAAGCACGGTCTTTGTATAACACCTTGGACTTTTTACTACACATCTGACGAGTTTTAATAAGAAACTTCGATTCAGATCTTAAACTACGACTCGGTACATAAAATTCGATTAATTCACATAGATAATTTGGGGCAAAACCATACAAAGATTTATACACTAGTAAAAGTAATTTGAAATTGATTCTTTGTACAACTGGTAACCAATGAAGTTTAATAAAATAATTCGCGTGTTCATGCTCTTGATCTATTGCTAATGCAGAGAATTCTTGAGATTTATGGTTTACGAAATTGCCCTTCAAAAACTCAGTTCTTATCTGTGGATGAATTTGTTCTAAAAACAGCATATCTCAGAGATGAATCGGCAACCAACGAGCAAAAATTGTATTGTTATTTGCAAAAAAAGTATGGTAACAACTCTTGCAAAGCTTGGCAGTATAAACCGAAATTTGCTTCTCTAAAAGACAGTATCAATGATAGAATGGTCAGCTCCATTTCTAAAATCATGAACCAGAACTGGAACTGAGGACTTTCGCATATCACACCAATCATCAAAACTAAGTTCGCGTTGATAATCAGCGTGTGCCTCTGTACAATATATGCCGTATGAATCATGCAGCAACTTATATAAACAACTTGATGTCACCTGGTGCATTTGTCGTGTTCTTGTTACACTTGATGCTGAAAGGAATGAAACTGCTGTACCAGAAGTAGTTATTCCTGATTCAACCAAAGCTGTTGTCCAACCACTATCTTGCAAAAGGGTTCCGATTGATTTAATAGTGTAGTACCCCAAACATAAGAACAAATTTGTCTTCACCATATTTCTCTGCCCAGTGCCATTGAATTTGTTTTGCCATGGCAAACATTTGTTGATCAGCAGCAATCACAGGGACTTGACCAGGGTTAAGATGGGAAACAACTTCCTTGATCTTGTTCATACAATGACAAATTGTTGCAATCGAATGAGCTTGCTCCCTGAAGATAGGTAATAAAGATAAGATAGTCGTCTTGAAATAAGGACTTCTTTTCATTGAAGCATGATGACCAAGATATATCAAGTCTATCTGTGTTGACCATTTTAGTAATACTTACCTTTTGCAACCAATCATACTCTGGTTTCAAAACAAGAGATGGAATTAGTTGTTGGTTTTTAACAAGTGGGAGATTCGGATTTTTAATCCCGAAAAAGGCAGGAGGAACATTTGTGTAACAGTCTTAATCTTACTATATATTTGCCCTGGTTCCTGTAATACACTATCATTTTCCGCAGTTGGGTGTTGGAATATAGAAATACTTGTTCCATGGAATGAAGATGTTGATGATGTTGCAGATGGATTGTGGTCCATATTATCCATTGCTGAGGTTGGGAACAAATCTTTTCTTAAAATATTTGAACATACAACTCCTTCTGTTTTATATTTGCCAACAGTGGCATCGCCAAACTGAGCTGAAACCTCAAGCACTCTGTCGTATGAAATGCTTAGACCATGATCATGTAGCAATTCCACTAAATGTTTCATTCTGGTTTTTGAGTAAACCGACAATCCCAAAAACACATGGAAAGGCGTTTCACGATCTTTCGAGTGTCGCAGCAATTTACCATCTTCTTGATATTTTGTATAGCAGTTGTACTGAAGTAATTGGGCCATCGCAAGGTCAGTTTTTGATGCCCCAAGTCGTAACTGAGATTTTATATCAGCTCTGTGTTCGATCATGGAAACGAATTGAAGAAGCGTGGATGGTATCAAATCCTCGACACATTTGTCATTGAAAATTCCAGGAAATGATGATTTATAATCCATCATTCGCTGACGAAAGATTTTTGCTGCTTTAGTAATGATAATGGCTTCGGTGTAGTTTTCAATAAAACTGTACCAACATCTTCTTAAAGTGCTAAAAGAACATGTCTACCTTTCTTGTACACTTCAGGATCTGGTATTTCTGCTAAAAGTTTGTCTGGTGGGATTGACATTATGATCATCGACTCCGAGTTGTTGTAATCGTTGCTGTGTATGTACTTTCCATCCTAGCTTAAACTGAACATTCTGCCACAGATTAGACTGATGGGCCAGAACATAGAATTTGTCTCGCAGACTACGTATCTGGGTCATAGGGTCATGTGTGACATGAAGGATAATGACAACCAACCAACCAACCAACGTCGCTTGTTTTGTGTGAGAGCAAACCTACTTATCTATTTAATTTCTTATCTAGCTGCATTGTCGTGGCTTGTTGAAGATCTTGCGATGGGTCTGCCCTTTCACAAAGAAAACGCACTTGGCTTTCAATACTCAATCGTCTATTTTTTTCTGATGTTAGATCTGTTGTACTTGAAGAAGCTACTCTTTTAGTTACCCTCTCAAGGTCTGCAACTTTGGTAATATTTTGCTTTGTTTATCCGGAGTGTTTCCTCTATTCCATCCCTTCCTCTAATCTTCTAGCAGCGAGTAAAATCGGTAACCTGTTAATGTCCTTGAATATAAAAACATTTTTTGCAATCATGACTTATCCGTCTTCCTTTTCTGTCTGGCAAAGACAGCATTTACTCCAATCAGTTGCTGTAGGGGAAGCTAACACGTTCAATTCTGACATAATCTTTCAAAATATTACATTAAATATAAAATGTATCTGATTACGAAATCTCAATATAAATCTCACTAATATTCCAAAGCCGAAGGTTTTAGCCTTTTACCAACTTGGATAATCAAAAGCACATTGGTATATGGGATACAACTAGATTCTAATTGACGATAAATGTCAACCCTACGTCTAGCACGATCCAGTGCCAATTAAATCCCGTCCGATCTGTACACCTTACAGATAACATAAACACCATTATCCTTGGCTCGGCTCTCACGCACTGGCACATCCTGTCAATTCACTTTCATACAGTAAGCAATAAAAACATAAAAAAGTATGTACTGTATGTGGGTCTAGCTCGAAACACTTAAAAATACCAAAGCAACCATATTTTTTTTAAAATGGCTGCCAATCTCAAAAAATTAAATTGATGAAATTGATTTAAAATATGTTAGTATAGCTTGGGGTTTGATAGTGTAAGAGTTATGGCTTGTACCATTCTTAAAAATAACTTTTAGACAGATTCCGTTTATCCGTGTATTGAAATTTCTGGTCATAGTCCGCCATCTTGGAAAATGGTCGCCATTTATTTTCGTGGCTAATGTGCTTTATTGTTAAAGATATAGTTAAACTCCAATCATGCCAAGTTTAGTTCTTGTATCATTAACTGAAAAAAATGTTTCACTATCCTGTCGCGCTATATTACCTCAAACCCTGCAAATGATAGTGTGCATGGAATCATGGGAAGAAACGGTGTGCATTGTGATAACTGTCATAAAGTGATTGACAGGTCATACTTGTTTTCAACTCTAGAAGGACAGTGGGTTCTACCAGGTATGCTTGTAATATACAAAACAAAGGGTGTTTACAACTTTGGACGGTGAATTAGAATCTACCAGGTGTGCTGTTATTCGAATAACAAAGGATGTTTATGATCTACTGGGTTGCCTACGTGACACAGCTGCTAGCAAGATTACATTCTGATTGGCTCATGTGGAAACCCAGGTGGTGTCACTGCCTATAAATTGGACAGACTCAGGATAGTTTGGGCCGATAATTTCAACTTGGTGTCCGTCTTTTCAACTTGCTTTCCTGTGTGTTTTCCTACGATACGATATTACAGGCTACAACCATCATTCTGTGAGACTTATATGAACTGCTCTGCGATCTCCTGATTTCAGCGGTGCCCTCCAGAATACCTGCAAACAAGACTCCGTTGTTGTGTTGCAGAAGCCATTGACTGTCGTCCAATAATACATCCTTGAACTGTGAGGTATCACCAATGCACACTTCCCTAAGCAATCTCCTATTTTAGTGATTTTATTCATTGTATTTTTCTGTTCTTTATTTCTTGTAATTATTT